AGTACATCTAGGGATGGTAAACCAACCAGCCAACCAAAACCTTTTCCTTATCACCCTGTTCCTGCTCTCCCTCTTCGCTCTAGATCTCCATCCTCCCCTTCCCTCCATCCCATTCCCTTCCCTCCATCCCATCCCCTTCCCTCCATCCCATCCCCCCCTCCGTTCCTTCAACACACTAACACCAAAACATACGTAATCATAAACAAGCTCAGCAAACAATGGCGGGACAGTCAGCTCTTTGAGGAAGAAGTGGAAATGTTGGGTCTCATCCGATAAGAAATGATCTCATGTAGATGGGAAATGTTGGCGGGAATTCTTAGCAGGAGGAGAGAATGTGTCCGGTTCATTGGGTAGTGCTGTTGTGTGTGAGAACGGGGTGGGGGTTGTGGTTGTGGGAGAGGAAGGTTGTGGTTGTTGGAGGGGAAGGTTGTAGTTGGAGAGAATTGTGATTGTTGCTGGTAATATTGAATGTGAAGTTAATGAGAGTTATAGGTTATATCCGTCTGCATTACATGTGTATATATTTCGTATTTTTCAGACTGTCTGCGTGTCTGCTTTTTAACAACGGGGGGGGGGGGGGAATAGAGAGGAAGCAAAGGTGACGAAGAAAGGGAAGAACGGTGATAGAGAAAGAGAGAATGTACGGGGAAGGTCAGAGAATGAAAGAGAATTAGAGGAAACAAGAGAAGAATGAGAGAACTGAATTGATATTCCAGAAATCCCCAGATGGCGCAAGTCCCCTAGAACACATGCACAATCTACAAACTAAAAACGATATCATTCAGACCATGTACGAATCACTCAAGTCAGCTACAGGGAGAGCAGGATTAAATACTGTTATCGTCCGTCAGCCCGATGGAAATACAATAGGATAGAATATGTCAGCAATTGAGCAGCTATCTTGCAAGTTGAACTGTTGACAGGTCATTGTAACCCTCATAATAATAAAAAGCATTGTAGGAGGCAGCTGAATTCTTTCAGACTCCCGCTCCTCATTACCTTCATTATATAACTTACAGTCAAATTGTAACGTGCTTGTCTCTGAGGCCAGACGTAAATATAATGCATCTTTAATAATGACGTCAAAGACAATATGCTGTGGATCTCCTCTCACACTAGACTGCTGGAAAATGATAATGTCAATGGCCTTGTAAAGACATTAAAAGAGATCTCTTACGTGAAGCTGAAATATGAAGAAGAGTGCAAACAGGAACTACCAGAACCATTGTTTATCACAATGAAATGTGTCAAACAAAACAGATGCATGGGGGACAAGTAATAAAGTGAGTAGACTGACAGACCTTGTATCCACAGACCAAGTATCTATGGATACAAGTATCTCTGGCAGTTAGGTTTGTATAGGGATCTGGATGAAGTCAAGTATGTGGACAGAGACAAGGACTCACACTACACCATTTCATCTTGGACTGTGAAAATAATTGAGCCAATTTGATATAAATCTAAACTTCGTGAAATGGCAAACCATCTTATTACAAATGATAAAATATCTGATTTCCTTGCACTGTATTCATATTTCGTTTTAATAGATACAATGCATATGTGAGACTAATATGTATAAGATGTGTAATGTATAAGAATAATAATGATAAACAGCGGCTCGTCTTAGATACTGTTATATTCATTAGTTCATTATTTAAATTATTTTACGTAATAACGAAAGACTTACCTTCAATGTACAGTAATATTCTCCAAAGATGTTTACCATCACTACCACAACCCTCACCACCACAACCTTTCACCACCACAACCCTCACCACCACAATCCTCACCACCACAACCTTTCACCACCACAACCATCACTATCACAACCTTCACCACCACAACCTTTCACCACCACAACCCTCACCACCACAACCCTCACCACCACAACCTTTCACCACCACAACCCTCACCACCACAACCCTCACCACCACAACCTTTCACCACCACAACCCTCACCACCACAACCCTCACCACCACAACCTTTCACCACCACAACCATCACTATCACAACCTTCACCACCACACCCCCCTTTCAGAATAATCCATCACCTCGAGCAGAATTGTTATTTTACACATCATCTAGAGAGAAAAAACAATCCAATTGCCGATTTATCATCATTTACAAAAAATCGTACAATTTCCCGAACCACACCCACATACATGTACACGGCAGGTACATACTCACAGCTACACAGCCGGTACAAACTCACACCTACACAGCCGGTACAAACTCACACCTACGCAACATACACCAGCAGACACGCACAAAGCAAGTGCGTATATACGCGTCCACGGAAGACCAGACACACCCCTCCCACAAGGCCGCAGCATTACACTCATCTATCACCACTACAGCACACGCCTCTTTCGTCTCATGTCACACCAGAGGGCCCCCGTAAGGAATATAATTTAGCTGTAAGCCCGCGGCCTTTGTTTACATGTGAAGGCAGCTCTCCTTACTGCCCAGTAGGTGCCCCGTCACCGCCTATCTGATTCAAGAATCCCACTATTTGTAAATAGTTTCTCAAAACTGCCGTCAGCTATTTCAATCTTTCAGACCACCAAACCAGGGGCTAGATTCACGAAAGCACTTACGCAAGCACTTACGAACGTGTACATCTTTCCTCAATCTTTGACGGCTTTGGTTACATTTATTAAACAGTTTACAAGCATGAAAACTTCCCATTCTACTGTTGTTATTGTTATAAACAGCCTCCTGGTGCTTAGAAGCTCATTAACTGTTAAATAATTGGAAACAAAGCCGCCAAAGATTGAAAAAAGATGTACAGGTTCGTAAGTGCTTGCGTAAGTGCTTTCGTGAATCTGGCCCCAGAGTACGTGAGACTGGCTCACGATCTTCTTAGTCACTAAGCAATAGATCTATATTTTCTATACAATGGCATATGGTAAATATAGAAGATCGAGGTGTTTTTTTTTAATCCATTATAGAATATTAAATTGATTACAATCTGGGTTTGATATTATACCACATAACGTAAAGCCACAATGTAAAGTTCTGAGTTTGTTTATAGTTAGATTCTAACCATTCCATGAGTGAGCTGTTGTCTAGCTGTACTAAGTTATAGTACAGTCTAGTAGCAGCCGATTGGATTCGAGATCGATTGGCAGGGAAAGCGAGGCATCTGGAAACGTGTTCTTGCACCTTATGCTGCTGTTCCCCTAGCAGTCAATAGCATCCCAGAATTAGGCAGCTATTGTGGTATGCATTCTGGAGGTCAGTCATTGACTTGAGAGACGTCTATCAGATGATTGTCTGGGGTTCTAAGTGCCATGGAGGCATATGGGGGGTTATTCCCACCAACTCCAACCCCCTACAAACCTCCAAACCCCTTCCCCCCCTCCCCACAACAGCCCCTATCGACTCCCCCCTCCAAGCCTTCCCCCCCTCACCCACACCCCTTACCAGCAACCACCATATCCCCCCCTCCCCTTCTCAACCCCCCCCCCACCCCCTCCTTCCATGCACTGAAAGTTTTACTAGTGATGATACCAGAGTAATTAGGCACACGAAAGGACGCGAAAAGGGACGATACCCTATGAATTTTTTAGCCATGTGCGTGCCGGGAGCGCGTCGAGGTGCCACGGCCAATGTGATTGATGAGCCATTGACGATAGATTGATGATTGATGATAGATGAATGGCCTCGCTGCCCTGATGGATGGTGTCAACATATGTAATAAGCGCATTAATGTGATTACACACAAAGAAAACGGAAGTTATGGCTTGTGGTTACTTAACCTAATTACTTAGAGAGAGAGAGAGAGAGAGAGAGAGAGAGAGAGAGAGAGAGAGAGAGAGAGAGAGAGAGAGAGAGAGAGAGAGAGAGAGAGAGAGAGAGAGAGACAGAGACAGAGACAGAGAGAGAAATAAAAAGTAATAGAATAGAAAGTAAAGTAAGAAGGAGATGCAGAAACCCCCACCAAAAAAAAAAAAAGTTTCAGGGAGATGAGAAACATATACAACAGAGAGACAGAAAGGCGAGTCAGCTACATAACCGAAGCTACAAAAGAGACAGACACCGGACAGAGAGAAAGTGACAGAAGGGGGGGTAGGGGAGGGGGGAGGGGGGGGGGAGGGACCATTACTGCCACTCGTGGAAACACAAGTGTCGCGTCCTGACACTATGACGATGATGGATCACCAGTCCACTCTCTCTCCTGCAACAGCACGCCCGCTGTCTCTAGCAGCAGCAGCAGCAGCAGCAGCAGCAGCACGGCCGCTGCCTCCTGCAGCACCATACTTACTATTGACTTTATCATTACTAACACCACCACCACCACCATCATTACCACTATCATCCCTGCCACCAACCACCCTGCCTATCCACCAGCATGTGTCAAGTACCAACACTCATCTCTTGTTGACGGACGGACCCTCAGTAGCGAGCCAGAAACATCGAGGTGTAACCGCTCTCTTCACTCGGTGAGAGTTGACGAGCACGAGGCTCTAAGACCTAAGAAAAGACCCCAACGTCATCACTTCTCAAACCCAACCCAACCCAACCACAACCTAAACGGGATGACCTACCCTACATATGACCTACCCTACATAACAATGCCTATGACGCTACTGGACACATGCGTCCCGGGGGCTATCAGAGGAACGACAGGGGGAGGGGGAGCAGGGGAAGGTTCCAAAAGTGCCACTTCCAGTAACTGGGCTCCAATAAGTGCCACTTCCAGAGATAAGTTTCCAGTAAGTGCAACTATCATTGATTGCTCTGCAGACCACTTCCAGTTTATCACTGGAACACATATCATCGCTAGAAACATAAACATGATTGTATTAACATTGGTGAGAGAGAGAGAGAGAGAGAGAGAGAGAGAGAGAGAGAGAGAGAGAGAGAGAGAGAGAGAGAGAGAGAGAGAGAGAGAGAGAGAGAGAGAGAGAGAGAGAGAGAGAGAGAGAGAGGACTTGATATGATATTGTTACGTGACGAGAGATTTTTATACGAGTGTAATTTCTGATTTTGATTTTTAGTAGACATGACTTGCAGTGCCCGAGGCTCCAGTAGACATGACTTGCAGTGCCCGAGGCTCCAGTAGACATGACTTGCAGTGCCCGAGGCTCCAGTAGACATGACTTGCAGTGCCCGAGGCTCCAGTAGACATGACTTGCAGTGCCTGAGGCTCCAGTAGACATGACTTGCAGTGCCTGAGGCTCCAGTAGACATGACTTGCAGTGCCCGAGGCTCCAGTAGACATGACTTGCAGTGCCTGAGGCTCCAGTAGACATGACTTGCAGTGCCCGAGGCTCCAGTAGACATGACTTGCAGTGCCCGAGGCTCCAGTAGACATGACTTGCAGTGCCCGAGGCTCCAGTAGACATGACTTGCAGTGCCCGAGGCTCCAGTAGACATGACTTGCAGTGCCCGAGGCTCCAGTAGACATGACTTGCAGTTGCCCGAGGCTCCAGTAGACATGACTTGCAGTGCCTGAGGCTCCAGTAGACATGACTTGCAGTGCCCGAGGCTCCAGTAGACATGACTTGCAGTGCCTGAGGCTCCAGTAGACATGACTTGCAGTGCCCGAGGCTCCAGTAGACATGACTTGCAGTGCCTGAGGCTCCAGTAGACATGACTTGCAGTGCCTGAGGCTCCAGTAGACATGACTTGCAGTGCCCGAGGCTCCAGTAGACATGACTGCAGTGCCCGAGGCTCCAGTAGACATGACTTGCAGTGCCCGAGGCTCCAGTAGACATGACTGCAGTGCCCGAGGCTCCAGTAGACATGACTTGCAGTGCCCGAGGCTCCAGTAGACATGACTTGCAGTGCCCGAGGCTCCAGTAGACATGACTTGCAGTGCCCGAGGCTCCAGTAGACATGACTTGCAGTGCCCGAGGCTCCAGTAGACATGACTTGCAGTGCCCGAGGCTCCAGTAGACATGACTGCAGTGCCCGAGGCTCCAGTAGACATGACTTGCAGTGCCCGAGGCTTCAAGAGGCGAGAAATCCCGCCACGAGCCAAGGTTGGACATTGGGAAAGTTTCGGGCATCAGGTATTCACAGCCAACGCTACCAGTGCCAGAAGTTGAGGCACAGACGAACCAGAGGCACCAACACAGACGAACCAGAGGCACCAACACAGACGAACCAGAGGCACCAACACAGACGAACCAGAGGCACCAACACAGACGAACCAGAGGCACCAACACAGACGAACCAGAGGCACCAACACAAACGAACCAGAGGCACCAACACAAACGAACCAGAGGCACCAACACAAACGAACCAGAGGCACCAACACAGACGAACCAGAGGCACCGACACAGACGAACCAGAGGCACCAACACAGACGAACCAGAGGCACCAACACAGACGAACCAGAGGCACCAACACAGACGAACCAGAGGCACCAACACAAACGAACCAGAGGCACCAACACAAACGAACCAGAGGCACCAACACAGACGAACCAGAGGCACCAACACAAACGAACCAGAGGCACCAACACAAACGAACCAGAGGCACCAATACAGACGAACCAGAGGCACCGACACAGACGAACCAGAGGCACCGACACAAACAAATGTAAACTGTGCTCCAAACTACAGAATGAATGAAAACAAAATCACAAGATAAAAAATAAACCCCACAAAGAGCCAGGACAAGAGGATGTGTGTCAACGCACAGAACTGAACCTCCGGAAGAGACACGCAGAGAACCCAATATTTTGATGTAAATATTATCTATATATATTGTATATTATTGAATAAAACAAATATTTTGTGGTGCAAGAGTTGAGGTGTGAGCAGTCCAGTTCCATCTCAAATGTGACAACATAATGAATAACATTTACAAAACCTCAAAACTAAAAAAATAAATATCACTTCTCTACTTTTTCTTCAGTATATCAATGGGAGAGGAACTCCAAATCCACAAGGGCCGTGACGAGGATTCGAACCTACGTCCGGGAGCATCCCATACGCTGCCCAAACATTCAGTTTTCATCGTAAAACCATCATGACAATGCAGCAAACACCTGCAAACTCCCGCATATTCAACTCTCTGAAAGATAGATATACCTGTAATGGTAGAGGCTAACCTTTCATGCCCATGTCAGAGCTGTCATACCCACATCAGAGCTGCCATGCCCATCCCCCTATACCCACGTCAGACCTGTTATATTCCCTTCAGAGTTTCGATACCCAGACCCGCCATGCCCCTGCCGGACCCATGTCAGACGTCATACCCATTCTAGAACATGAATATGTCCATACTAACCGTCATACTTATGCCATACCTGTCACACTAATGTCATATCTGTCATACTTATGTCATATCTGTGATACCCATGTCAGCTGTCATACCCATGCCAGCTGTCATACCCAAGCCAGCTGTCATGCCCATGCCAGCTGTCATACCCATGCCAGGCGTTATTTCCCTATCACTCTGAGAACGAAATAAGAACAGTAACGAAAAAATAAATATAGATTCAGCTCAGCATTTCACCAATGAATTTATATGTAAAAAATACCAGTCAAAAATAAATATATATAAAATGTCTTTTCTGTTTGAGGTGTGTTGTTTCGTGCTTCAGCAACACACGAACAACACTCACGTGAGTGTGTTGTCCGGCAAGCCAGAGTGTGTTCCCATTCCCACTAGAGTCCCACTTGATTCCCATTCCAAGTCCCACCCACTCCCACTAGACTTCCCATTAGAGTCATCAAATGTTTACAGACGTAAAGATTAAGAATAATGATGGAGGGAGGAGGAATTATCAGGAGGAAAGCACCAAGCCATTACGACTATATAACACTTACAAGGGGGTCAGGATAAGGATTTGGGATGGGACGGGAGGGAAGGAATGGTGCCCAACCACTTGGGTACAGTCGGGGATTGAACGCCGACCTGCATGAAGCGAGACCGTCGAGAAACTTGCGACAATGCCGTAGTGCTGGAAATGAAAGTGAAGGAACGATCAAAAATATATATGCATGTAAAGCACCTTGACGTGCTTCCGGGGCTTAGCGTCCCCGCGGCCCGGTCGTCGACCAGGCCTCCTGGGTGTAAGTGTATTAAAATCAATATTTCGAATATAACCTATACAGCCTTTCTCAACGTGTTGTATACCAGGTTCTGCAACATTGTATACGGTTCCTTGAGAAAATATGTATATTACATCCGAAAATAAATGTTTGAATACACTTACACATATACACACACACATATTGGGTCATTCCCTTCTCACTAAAAACTCTATATTACATACGATAACTAAAGCCTCAGAATTGTGTTACAAACGATCCTTAAAGACTAAGAATTTTGTTACTGGTGACCAAAAAAGGACCAGAAAAATTATAGTATAGATGATAGCAAGACCACACAATTATAGAATTGACGATAGCAAGACCATACAATTATATCATAGACGATAGCAAGACGATAGCAATTATATCATAGACAATAGCAAGACCATACAATTATGATACAATCGATAATCATGATTGAACACTATACCAAAGTTTGTGATTTCAGCTACAGAGTACAGCGAGACTCCCCTCCCCCCACATCCCCCCTACACCCCCCCAGAAACATCACTCCACCGATATATTGAACTCTCCCCCCACCCCCCCTTCCCTCCCCCTGGCCGGAGTGACAGGCTCAAGTTTTTCAGATATTAAGATCCTCAGGTGAAAAATGGGAGTGCATTAGAGGCAGACACCTTTACGACCCAAGCTCATCCATTAGCAAGTCTGATTGAGTCTAGGTTCTTATCACGGACTGTGCCTCCCCCCACCACTCTCAACAATCCCCCCCTCCCAGATACCCCACACCCCCTACTTAGGCAATTCCAATTATTATGAATATGATGTGTGGTGAGCCATAAATTCCCCCACAAATTATTGACAAATGTCCACAGACTAGGAAAAGAACGAGGTGATTACCAGGGCCATAAGTTATCTTCCAATAAACACAATATAAATCACCGTCATCAACACGGTTGCGAATATATATATATATATATATATATATATATATATATATATATATATATATATATATATATATATATATCTATATAACCCACTACCAGCCTCGGAGATGTATGTGATGGGCTTCCATTACTAAACATTAAGTATTTATTTATATACTTGTAGTTCGAACTGGACTCTTTTTAACATCTTCATGGAACTCTTGTACCTCTCTGAGCTCCTGTACCTCTCTGACGCTCCTGTACCTCTCTGAGCTCCTGTACACCTCTCTGGGCTCCTGTACCTCTCTGAGCTCCTGTACACCTCTGAGCTCCTGTACCTCTCTGACGCTCCTGTACCTCTCTGAGCTCCTGTACACCTCTCTGGGCTCCTGTACCTCTCTGAGCTCCTGTACACCTCTCTGGGCTCCAGCGCCTAGGTAGAAGGTCGCTGCTAATTGTCTGCAGCTGTCCAGTATACTCAAACATGTTTCCTCACGTCATTAGTAGAGTTGGTGGAAGGTGTGGTGAGGTGAGGTGAGGTGAGGTGAGGTGAGGTGAGGTGAGGTGTGGTGTGGTGTGGTGAGGTGAGGTGAGGGCGAGGCGAGAACATGAAGGTGCTTGACAAAGCCACCTGTCCTATGACTCTGTGTTGTGAGGGGCTCTTAATTAAGGACATAATTACCTTGCCCTTTGTCTCTCGAGACTCCGAGCAGCAGGGACGCAACACACACACACACACACACGCTCCTTACAGGGGCCGGTGGCTGAGCGGACAGCTTGCTGGTCGCATGATCTCGTGGTCCCGGATTCGATTCCGGGCGCCGGCGAGAAACAATGGGCAGAGTTTCTTTCACCCTGATCATCCCTGCTACCTAGCAGTAAATAGATACCTGCGAGTTAGTCAGCTGTCACGGGCTGCTTCCTGGGGTGTGTGTGCAGTGTGGGAAAAAAAAGTAGTTAGTAACAGTTGATTGACAGTTGAGAGGCGGGCCGAAAGAGCAGAGCTCAACCCCCACAAGCACAACTAGGTGAATACAACTAGGTGAATACACACACACATAATATTTACTACCCTTTACATAAACCAAACAAAAAAAAAGATATGTGAAACCATCACAGTAAAAGATTCACACGTTGGACGCACATGTCCTTAATACTTAATACTAAGACGGGCACCAGAGCACAGGGAAAGAGGCCAGGGATTGGGGGAATACACATACACTTACACATGATAAAGTATCGATAGCGTAAGTGTTGTTAAATGAGACCAGAATGGTACGGGAATATCGACAGCATTCTTTTCCTAAAGTGCACTTTAAACGCCCAGGCCGTAGTTCGCCGAATCGAGGATCCTTGAATCGAGGTACCACTGTGTATATATATATATATATATATATATATATATATATATATATATATATATATATATATATATATATATATATATATATATATATATATATATATATATATTATATATATATATATATTTATATATATATATATATATATTATATATATATATATATATATATATATATATATATATATATATATATATATATATATATATATATATATATATATATATATATATATATATATATATATATATATATATATATATATATATATATATATATATATATATATATATATATATATATATATATATATATATATATCCCCATTATATACCACTGACGTAAACCCCCCATTAACCTCCTCAAACCACATTTACTTCCACGATTACACTCGTGAATTTTCTAACGGATGGTTGAGCCTGAGGAGCCCATTACCTCGTCCATTGGACAGAGCGACTATTTAATATCGCCCCATTATACTTCTAATAGGGCCAATTATATCAATCGTATACTACACTTAAATCCGGTTAAAAGAAATCGGAAAGGTCCAGCTATTTGTTTGCTTAGCAAATACCAGTATTAGTTTAATATTTCCATTTGCGAGGAGGGGGGGGGGGGTTTATTCGGATATCC